TTCCAACGCCTGCCAGCCAGTCTCGGTCCAACATTGTCCACCCCACACCTTGCTGTCCATAAAGGCAGACTTCTTTTGTGGGCCAGGAGCTGCAGTCCTGCTCTGAAAGCAAGCCGGTAACAAAGTGTTTCTGCTCTTTCACTCTTTTCTTTGGAGAGAAGAAAGACAAAGTGTCCCTGCACATACCGTTCCCAGAACCTGTTTCATATTTAAATAGTCTGGAGACAAAGGTCAAAGAACAAATGTAACAGGGCTGTTCAAGCTCTTGTAAAATACTCTGTATCGGAGTCTGCTCGCTCTGGCTTTTCCCATGAAGTCATCCCAAGCCTCGAGCTGCAGGCTGGCAGCTGCCGTGTGCTAACCCGGGTGTGCACTCCGACCAAGAGGAGCTCCTCTCCCTCCTCCGCCAGCCCCGTCTTCCTGCTGTCTTCCCCTGGCACCCAATAAAACCAGATTATTAGCTTCCAGCTAATCGAGGAGAACTTCCTTGACCCGGTGGTTACGTGGTCCGCTGTAATGCATGTGCTACTAAATCAATGATGCAATAACAGCTGATTCCAACTTCAGTGTTCAACATGTAGGGGAAGTTTCTTGGAAAAGCTCGAAGCAGTTAAGGGCGCAAATCCCTGCCACCACCCCCAGTAAGACCAATTTCCACTTTTTTTTGTCTCTGCAGACTTTATAAAAGAGCAACTTAAACGTAACCTGGAACAAAGGAGTTTTTGTGTTTTCCTGGTGCTGCTGGGCCATGCTGCTCTCACACACCTTCTTCGGACTTTGGTCAACAATCTTGCTTGTGATTTTCGAACAGATGGGGTTTTCAAAACCAAGCTGGGTTGTCAGTGCGCAATTCCTACAAAGGCTAAAGGAATCTCCCGCCTAAAGCCTGTCGCAAGTCTTCACCAAGAGGGACTTTTGCCTACGCAAGGTCTCACCCCTTTTAGACTTTCTCTTTCTGGATGTTCCCAAGAAAGACCGCAGCAACGAGCCGGTCACCAGCGTACCAGCGCCTGGCCAGAAGCAACCGTAAAAATAATATGGGATGTAAAATCCAGAAGATTAATGACG